ACATTCAGCTATCTTTAGCATCCGATACCGCTTCTTGACAAACATTTCTTCATCCAGAAACGCAGTTCTGCTGACAGGACATTTCTCTTTAAATGAAACTTTCTTGTGTGGTAAGAATGTTTCCCAGACGTCCACACATTCTGACTGGGCCAAATGATCAATATTTCCATCAGGTAAATATTTCACTTTGAACCGATTACTTTTCTCCCTTCTAGTATACCAAATGTTGTTTTATTCACGAAAAGGAATTTCTTTCTTTATGACTTTTTCCACTCTTCGGAGTCAAACACATTTCTTATAAGTTTGTAGAATGTCTAAATCTTCTATATATACCTATTTCTAACAATGTTAAAAAGTGTTATAAAGTGTTTTTAGAAGAGAAACATCGGTTTAGTTATTTCTATTTATCTGAAATTGAAAACAAATTGTCTACAACTACAGACAGCTCTGTTTGGATATACGCGAAATTCATGTTCCCAGGTTTACAACAATTTTCCCAAACCCTAATATCTGAACGCGATCGACCTGAAAGTTCAGAAAAACCTGACAAAGAAATTTTAATTTAGGGGAAACTGAAGTAAACGTACTCATAGGAAAAACAAATATGAACAAAAATTCATCTGTATGGTATAGCTATACCTAATATTTATATCTAATTTTCATAAGTTAATGTAATTATTATAACAATATAAAGAACGCAGTCTCTCTGGTGTTCATTCTCCGAATGTTAATTATCTCGTTTCACAACACTGAGAGATTCATTGTGAAGCTCTGCATTGGACGTGAATGTTTAATTGTATATTGAGCTACCTAACGTAATCCTTAGGGCAGAAACTTTAATTAAATTTTAATGATCGCGTGATTAGTCTAATAGGCTTAGTTTGCATTCATCCAATGACCCTATTACAACATCATTCTGAAATCTGGCATCATCGCAAGACTACAGTTAAGAATTCTTATTGTATATTTTAATATTGTATATTTATTATTCTTATTGTATATTCTTATTGTATATTTTAAGCACACAATTTGAATTTATTTATTTATTTTTAGACGTGATTTGCCCAAACAGAGTTATAAAATGAGTAAACAAGAATACCAAGTAAAAAGAAAGAAAAAAAAGTCCGAAATGTGTCAGATTTTAACGGTCACCAAAGAAGGTTTGTTAAGGTTTTTCACGCTCTCGCTGAGCTCGCAGTCTACAAGTCTTCTGTTACTCTCACTTCTACTAACCCCTTTTTTGTCTTTTTAGCTTTATTATTTGTATTAAACATAATTTTCTTCGCACTTAGGCCATATACAATTCAAGAGAAAAATTACAAAAATTTTAAAAACAGCAGTGTACGTTTAGAATTCCCGATACAGAGAATAAACAACAAACATGATACAATAAACATATGGGCATGTGTTGGCCCACATGTTTATTAGGCGGAGGACTATGTTATTCAAAATTTGATTTCTCTAGTTACCGTTTTTTTTTCACAACGCGAGAAACATGCATATATTCATGCAGATTATTCATTATTTAATTTCTTTAAATATAATACAGGGTGATAATATTTGGTGGCAACAATCTGAAAAGTGATACATCCTTTATAGTTATTCAACGCAAAATGGCGGTTCGAAACTAATATCCCCTTCTGAGCTAATAATAATGAAACAAATTTCTCACATACGTGTAGAAAGTAAAGCAATATAAAAAAGTAAAAATAAATAAAACAATAAAAGAGGCAGAAAAAGCAAGAACATTTAATTTTTGTCTTTCCCAAGTGAGATTTTTAGTGTTTTTCGGTCAAATACTTATTCATAATATTTTCATCATATCTGTAGATCATATATGTCTTATTTGTGAATCATTTGCACGTGGAGGTATAGATATTGTTTCCCTGTGAAACAATGTGCTTAACAACCTACGAAAATAATCTGAAATTGTTTTCACTGAGGTTTTATTAAAAGTTTTTCGACATAATTTTCTTGAAATTTAAGTTTGTGAGCAAGCAGTTAAAAACAAATCGCTTTGTTTAAAATCAAACTTTTATCTAGAATGGCATGAAGATCTCATATTATGGTAAATTGAGAACTTAATATTTACTCGCTAATAATAAATCCGCGAAATGTACTGTATTTTTTCCGATAGATCTTAGTGATTGTTCCCTTCCGACATTTAGTTAACGTTACAATGTTTCAATAAACAGAACATTTACTTTCAAAACGCATTTAGAAAAATTAATTCAAAAAATCCAATTCTTTCATTACAAATTTCAGGCTCTTTCTTACTTAAGTAGGAAAATCAAACTCTCATTATGAAAACAACAATATCTTGTATAAAGCAAACTTATTAAGACCTCATTATTATATGCTTAATAGTATATGCAATAAAATCGTGCAATAAAAGTGCAACAACTATGTATGAATATTGAAAAAAATGCGTCTTATACGCCGGCAAATACGGTATTTCTGGTGCACGGGAAGATTGTATGTGTTCCAAAAAAAATTAAATTGAGGCTAATCATTATGTTAAATTAGTTAATCGAATAGTTAAAAGAGATAAAAGAAATTCCTTTATATTTAAAGAACTTTCATCCATCAATTTTCGGACTTTTTCCAGCAAGAAGACTTAATCTGGGGTACTTGATTACCTTTATTCCATTATCATTGCCCATCTACTAGCAAAATTTTAACTGGCGCTTGCGTAATCGAACAAGAATAAACGTACTGTGTTTAACTTTAATGCTTGGAATAGTCATTTATGTTTCGTAAAATTCTTCGCACAAGTATACATAGCATTGCATTATAGTACACTTTGTATTTGATAAATGTGATGTAAAGTGTCGTTTATTGTTATTTGGAATTACGCCAAATTTATTCGGGAATGACATTTTAATATCAAACACAAATTGACCCTATGAAGGAATATATTTAAAACTAAATAATTTTCTTTCACATTACACATTTAGAAACCCGTTTCTCGAAATTTTAAAAATTGTTCCAAAACAATAAGACTTCGAGGAAATTAGTTTACAATAATCTTAATTTCCTCGAACTATCAATTACGTGATTGCTGAATGAGCTATTTACTATATAATGCGAGTAAAGTGCAGAATCGCCCACTTATTGGTTGGCGCTTTTTACAAGAGTAAGGACTGGATTTTTGTCAATTTTCTTTGACATTTTAAGTGAAAATAAGTCGATGTGTTCATGGATAAAGTCAAGGGAGTGCACAATGCCATTTTTGTGCAATTCTGGGATTTTTTTAAGTGAAAATAGGTCGATGTGCACATGGATACCGATGTGCAATTCTTAAAAACGCGCCAAGCAGTGGTTGATTCTGCACTTTCCCCCATAATGCTTCTAGATATATTTTCATTTCAGATAAATAACTCTAGTAATCCTACATTCAAGGATCTCTAAAAGATGACAGCGTTTGCATTTTTAGTATTACAGTAGCATAATTTGTCAGTCTCAAGTAAACTTTATTCTGTAAACTTCCCAGTAGGTTTTAAATGACAGTTCTTTCAAATCCTTTTGGGGTTAACATTTTACATTACAAAAATTTATTAGTCATCTTTCTTGACTTGCCTTCTCAACTTATATTAAAAACACTACAGATTAAAATCTTTATTATTTAGAAGTTAAGTAAAATATGTTCTCTAATGCCACAATGGAAGTATTAAAGTTGAGTTTATACTAACATATATTGCATAACAGTTATCTTTACGTATTTATATATAGGATGTCCAGATAAATATTTCCTATATTTTCTTGAAAGAGAAACTTATCACTAACAGGTGGCATACATCGACGTAACTAGAGCGCATGTGCTTCGCAATTTTTTATAAATGAGCAAACAAGCGACCTGGATGTTAGATCGATTGAGTTAACATCTCAACTTGGTTATTCTCTTTTTTAGAACTTGTAATTTTGCCTGTTTCTGCTGTTAAGGTAATATAGTAGGTTGGTGCCTGAACTCGGTTCTTGGCGCTGTGTTGTGAAAGGGCCTGGTGTGTCTTAACGGCCGCTTTCTTGGATTGTTACTGCTAGTAACGTTGCCGACTTTTGGATTCCGCTACCATGGATTTTATCCGGAAATTATTTGCTGACTACCAGAGGCTTAGCGAGCTTAGCAAAACCTCTTCCCTGGACTCACGGACTCGGAAATGACGACCACAGAAATGATGCCGCGCAAGCTGTTTCCACCAATGCTGCTACTGAGGACATTGCTGATAACTCAGTGAAAGATATGGATTTTCAGGAACAAAGCAAAAAGCGTAAATTTCGTCCAACTTCCCCTCCAGTTCCAATAATCACAGCCAGTAACCGCTTCTCTGTACTGAGAGACGTTTCCGAGAAGCCCACTCCTGCCGATAATGAATTTCCGCCTCTGAAAGAGACTGTTACTCAAAAAAGGATGCAAAGCAATAATTCGAAAATTGCAAAATACAGGGATCTACGCCCACTACCACAGGAATTAATTTCTATTGGTAATAAGCCGTGTAAAAGACAGGAAGAAATCCCAACCCAACGGCCCGCACCCGATGAGAAGCCAAACACAGCCACCGCCCAGTTTGCCAATCAGGAGCTTGCACAAGACTCCTGTGAATCACGTAATGATAACTTCGAATTCCCGGAGCAAAGTTCAAACCTTCTTCCAGTCGTGATTAAGGACTGCAAATTCACATGGAGTTAAATCACAAAAATTCTAGATGATGCAAAGCTGCAAGACTTCAAAGCGCAAACGAAAGCGGATAATGAGTTTCACGTCAAAGTTTTCACCATCGTCAAGTGACAGCCCTACTTGACAGTAAAGCAATTAAGTACCACACCTATCAACTACCTTGTGGCAAGGACATTAAGGTTGTAATTAGAACCCGCCTGGAAATATTCTCAGTGAAACTCATATGGACACTCTTTTTAAATTCTTCTATGAGACAATTCTCGAGGGAGATATCAACGCTAAGCACTCTGACTGGGGTTGCTATAACACTAACAGAAACGGTCACATGATCCATCATTATGTCACTAGTACTCCAGTATTTCTCTGCGTTCCTGATGAGTCAACTTATCGGCCAAATGTAAGCAACAGAAGGCATAATATACTGGACTTCTTTATCAGCACTGTAAGTATTCCCATTAACTTTACACATAAAAATAATGCGTTTTTTTCTCCAAATTATACTCTCAATCTCTTTTCTGATGTTATACAAAACTTTAACTTGTAAAAATAATTTTTCTTTTGAATTTTAAAGCATTTGTGGCAAAGTTTTCACCCATAAATTTTTCATGCTGCTACAAATAGTGAATAATAAGTAATTAATTCAAATATATAAATCAACAGAAAAGAAGCTCATTAAAAGGACGATATAAATTCTCTTAAATTACACATTCCTTTCACCAAAAACATTTACAAATAATAATTGACTCACAATCTTGATAGCTTCGGTTATATCTTTTTAGTTAAGTTTTATTTCTTAGTATTTCTGAGTTCAAGCCCGAGTGGAGGCTTTGTTGTAAACGAAGATGTCGACTGTTTAATTTATTTTGAATAATAAAGGGCATTTAATCCTTCTTGAGTTCTGATCTCTGTCTATTGAACTAAGCGATTATTTGTTTACCAGTTCTCAAGGTTCCTCATTTTTAGTTGTAACTCAAAGGTTGGAATCTTTCAACTCCACCTTTCTTCTTTTTTCGAATCTTTTATCCGATGAAGAATTTATTTAACTTAAACTGGCATAGAAGAATTGTGAATTTTATATTTCAAAATGTTGCACATTTTTTTTTATTTTACAGCAATTAATTGAATATTTCACACACAAAGCAATAATTCAAGAGATATTATTTCTTTATTATTACCAGTTTCGTTATTACATTTTCTGAAGTTGCATATCACGTTGTTTAGATACAATTCAGTGATGATGTCCGTGGTGATGGTGGTGCCCATGGTGATGGTGGTGTCCGTGATGATGGTGGTGATCATGTCCATGATGATGGTGATGATTATGGTGATGATCGTGGTGGTGGTCGTGGTGGTGGTCGTGATGGTGGTCATGGTGGTGGTCGTGGTGGTGGTCGTGATGATGATCATGGTGATGATCATGTCCGTGATGGTGATCGTGGTGTCCGTGGTGGTGGTGATGGTGGCGTGCTTCCACCTCTGGGACTGGATTAGCATCGGCACATGTACTCAGCAGCACGATGCAAACCACAGCGAAGACAATCAGAGAAGTTTTCTGCAAAGCAAGGAAATTTAAAAATATTATTATAATAAAATTCGAAAAATAAGGCAATTATTATTCGCAAATGTTTTTGGTGAGAGGAAAGTGTAATTTAAGAGAAGAATTTATATCGTCCTTTTAATGTCCTTTTAATTACAACTTTTCTGTTCATTCCCATTATATATTTGAATTAATTACTTATTATTCATTATCTGTAGCGGCATGAAGAATTTATGTGTGAGACCTTAGCCACAAATGCTTTAAAATTCAAAATAAAAGTAATTTTTACAAGTTAAATTTTTGTATAACATCAGAAAAGACATTAAGAATATAATTTGGGAAAAAAAGAAGTGCATTATTTTTATGTGTAAAGTTAAAATTTAAACACGCACTTTATTAATAATTTCAGATGTTAAGTGGGTGTAGAAGGAAAGCATGAAATCATCAGGGATGTAAAGCTACTGTAAAATAACAAAAGTTTGGACAAGTATAAAACGAATTAAATAAATGGCGTTTACTAATTAATCTATGCGACTTACGGTGTCATTTATTGTAAAAAGTAGTTTATTTATATTTTAAGATAGCTTAATATACGATTCAAATCGATATAACAGGCACAAAGGGAAAACAAATGGCTACCAGAATTAGAAGAAAAAATTATTTATAAATGTATCAAACTTGATACAGTCAGTTTACGCTAAAACGAGGAAGGCCAACAAGTCGATTTCCCAGCATGTTTTGGTTAGTCTCAACGGTCAGCTAAAATATTTTATGAATTATAGTGTGAAACCAATTTATTAATAATTTTTCTTTCAGTGTGCTTACAACAATCTAGCAGAGTAGACTGTTGTAAGTAGATGTAATTTGTTCTGCACATTTTTAATATGTGTGTAAAATTTCTTCTTTATTTAGTGAAGTAAATTCTACTACTTACAATTTTCAGTAAATTTATAGACATTAATTACTCTTCTTGTCTATGTCTACTTCCAATATGTACATGTTATTTTAATAGATATGCAGGGCCACTGTTGTTGGTGAACTCATGATGCTGTGTTGCCAGAAACCTCATATTTAAAACTGTCTGCATATTTTTATGAATTAACCGTACTTTTATGATTTCTTAAAAAATTGTCTGCTTTATTATGATATACGCAAAGCAACATCATAAGCTCAGTTTTATTACTAATAATGTCGTTTTATATTTTCACTCTAGTCCACCCCATCAACTGTTGACTCAGGGGGTTTGCATGTGCTAAATTTTGCGAATTTGAAGCTCAGGGAAAATGTTTTAAGCAAAAGGCCTAAGTCCAAAAACAAACAGTTAACTACTTCTGTGAATATTTAATAGATTTATGTATTAGTTACACAGTAAGAGATCCAAGAATGGATAAAATATTCAACATGAGCACTAGTAGTTCAATCCAGATTGGAATCCCTATAAAAAGGATAAATGCATGGGAAATTTCCTTATTTCTCCATGTATAGCATCACTGCAGAAGCGATTCCTGTAAGAAAGTCTTAGGAAAGGATTCCATTCTTAGCATACAGGCCTTGCGTATTTTGGCTTAGTTACATCAAGCAGCCTGTGTAATAACAAAATAGCTCACAATGATCATATCAACATTTTATAATAAATTTAATAACTGCGTCAAATATAAAGTAAATTTTTATTACAATAACACTTAAAATTTGAAATGCTATCACATTAATCTAGAGGAAAAATTACTTCGCAGTGATTATTTTCTCTTTAGCGAGTTTGATATAGGTCAGAAATAGAAGGAAATTAGAAGCAGGAGTGAATATCAGTTGAAAGCGTTAAAGAAACTGCTTAAAGTACTATAAGACAGAATTTTACTCATCATCTGAAGGTATAGACTATATTATTTATACCAAAATACTGCTGTCTGGATTTGTATTTATTTCACATTTACGGCTTCTTTAGGTACTAGGTAAGAAAGATTTAAAATTAAGTTTTCCTGTCTTCGTATTTTTGAAAATTTATCATTTGGTATTGACATTAGAAAGCATTTAATTTTGTAATACATTTAACACTTCCTCATATTTAATTCCATTCCGATTGCAAGTAAATAATAAATTAGATTCATCTGATGTAAAATTTAAAGTACTGAATACGTTCTTGTTAGATAATGTCTAAAAAAAATTATTTATAGAAAATGTTAAATTTATGAAACAGAAATTTAATTGATTACGTAACTTTTTCTGAATTTATTAAGTTCTCTAAAAGTCAAACCTTTTGAAAAAAAAAACTGCAAAACATTCATATATAAGGAAAAAGAAAGTATTAGAAACATATACTGGTAATTTGGTTATGTCATTATCGTAAAAATGTTAATCGAAATCTTCCGTATTCTTAAATAAATGTTACAAGTTTTCAGCCAACGCAAATATGAAATATAATTTCCAATTTTTAGTAATTACTTGAAATTTAGATAAAATTTCACTTTTGAAGTAAATGCCCTTCAGAAACTTTTAAAATAAATACTAATAGTTACATTTTAAAATTTATAATTATAATATTATTATTATTTCTAGATAAGAATAACCAAATTTGTAAGCTAACTATTTAGTTCATTATCATACTATATCTTAACCGTCCAACAAAAACGCAAATATTTCATCAATAAAAACCAACCACTAACATATTTAAATGAAGTTTCTGATTTTTGTTTTCACTTCATTTGCATTTCCAATAAAGTGCTACAGCAAATACATATAGTGCTACTTTCATATAAATATATTTCAAATATAGTGCTAATTTCAGTAATGCTATAACTTACACAAATTTATAAGCCAACACAGAATACAGTTATAAGAACGTCAACTGATTCATTGAACAGTTAAAATTATATGGAAGAATACATACCATAGTGAAATACGAATGCTTTTCTTTAGACTAAGCTGAAAGCCGCAGCTGAGCTGTACTCAATTCTTGGAGCTGATTGTAGCTGTTAGATCGAAGTTGATACCCTCACTTGGAGTACATCTTTATATACCCCAACTTAAACTGGGGGCATTTTCTGCGAGCTCAGTATGTGCTTGGACTTGCATGCTCCAGTAACATGACTCCGTCACTTAAAAACTCAAGGACGTTTTTTATGCTCTTCCGACGAAAATAGAACTCCCACTATTTCGCAAGTTCATGAATTTAACAATAGATTTAGGAAAGAATTCCCTGCCTCTGTATCCATTGAATCGTCGCAGTCAGTTTACATGACACTGCTTACTTTTTATAGTCTTAATTACGTTAGAGACAGTACCTGGATTGAGACGTTATTGACCTGGAACTGCTAAATTTTATTATCTTTACAACAGTGACAAGATAAATAAAAAATAAGCAAAGTAATTAGGTCTCTAAATTTTGTGAAAGTAGGGCTTAAAAGTTTGCAAATTTCATTTTTAATAACATATATCTTTAATAATAGCTTGTTATTATGCAGTGATTTGTTAGTATGCAATAATTACTTGGAAGAAGATAAGTAAATGAATTTACAAACAGTGGCGACAGGACTGCAACTGTCTTGCATATTTGACTCAATATCATTATACTGAAGAAAAAAAAAAAAAAAAAAAAAAAAAAAAAAAGAAGAATTTTGAGTTGCAGTTATTTCATTTAACGCACACTCATTAGATCATAGCATCATAGCTGATTTCATTTCGTTTTAAGAATAATAAATATTAGTATAAGTAACATAAGATATTAGTTTATAATTCTTCGCGTCAACTTCTGCTACACATATTTACCTAACTAGTTTTACAATCTCTTATTTCTCTTTGCACATGAGTTTCACACATTTAACATTTGATTACCTTTATATTTAGCGATAACAAAAAAGTTATTTAAGTGCGTTGAGAAGACCGTAGTATTTCGGTAATTCCGCATTACATGATTTTCATCTGCTTCACATGTTATTCAAACTTAATGATTTACTTTACATTAATAAACATTTCACAGTAAAATAAAGTACTTAAATTAGCCTATCGTTTAGTATCAAATAATCTTATATTCAACAATTTATGTCAAATTATTTTCTTGAAATGCTAATTTTTTTACAAAGAGTCGTAGAAAAAATTGTGTTCCATGTTTAGGCAAATAATATTCCCACATAAGATTATTTTTCGACAACATGCTTCTTCATCAAGAACAAAAGGAAATGATTCAAACTTTCAAAACGTTTTCAGTTACAAAATTAACATGGAGTATCATTTCTTCAGCAATTAAACCAGAAACCACTTTTAGCAACCAGAAAGTGAGGTGTCGTTACCAGCAGTTGCGAATTTTGCTGGGTCAGTCTTCACCTGAAGAAAAACAACAAGACAGGTGAAAGTAGTTCCAACGATCTGAAAGAAGAAACAAAAATGGCCATTAATTACAGTTCAAAATTATTTCAATAATGTCCAAATTTTAATGCTTAAAAATGTCTGTTTAAAATAACTTTCGTCATGCGCCCGCTGAACAAAAGACAGGTAATGGAATTTTCTTACGGGTATATACTATTATCATTCTAAGTAGATTGTTAATATGTCTGTCACAGTTGTTGCTGATTTAAAGCTCAAATGTGAATGAATAGATGAAATAGTAATTGAAATCTACCGGGAAGCAAACATGTTGAGGACTTACAAAAGCTGTAGCTCTAGTCAACACAAAATCATGGCTTTGATGTGTTTCTGACTAACGAACAGTTCTGTATATAAAGGTTATCAAACGCTGATCGTATATATGCCAGACAAGATTCCACAAAATCAATATGTTTTACTGAAGTTAAATAGGGCCTTACATAATTATGTAATATTTATCTAATCAAAATATAGCTGATTTATAGAATTAGTATTATTACTTCGTATTACAATAATCAATCGGTGCAAGGACCTTCTTGTCCAATAGCACCTTTGATCCCAACATCTAAGATCAGCGAAATATGTGATGCTGCCAAGAAAAGCGATTCACAAAACATTTTCTGCGGTTAAAGGAAAAAATGTCCAAATAAAGATTTTTTTTATATTTTCTGCCAAAACATTTGTAACAGAAGGTTTTAAAATTATGAACAGAATTATTAAATAAACAATTATTTATTAAATTTTTCAAAAAAGAAATTTTTTAAGAATCAAATTACTTTCAAACTGATGCACGCGAAATGTAACAGGTAATAAAACAATATTTTCAGTGTGGTGTTTTAAACTTCCGTTAGAAACAGGGCTAAAATTCGATGCATTCACAAGTTTCAACACAAAAGAGAAGTTTTGAAATATTAAATGCACAAATATTGTTATTTAATAAATAATAAATTTGAAGCTCTCTATCCCAGGATTAATGTTAAAGTATACCTACTGTCAAAAAAAATGGACGTGACAGAGTAAAGAATTGACAGGCTGTGGCAGAGCTGGGTTTTACAGCAGTTTGAGAAACTAACAGCTTAACCTGAAAAAAAAAATGATATTACATCTATCACTAAAGATATTTAGAGAATATATGCTATCTTTTTTACAAATTTTTCTCCTTATTGTACTAAATAATGTATAAAGATGAACACAAATCATAAATCACTTATAATATATTTTCAAGAACTGAAATTTAATAACTTTATGTTCTCAAATCCATTTTAGATACCCACTGAATTTTTCGAATTTGGAAAACTTAAATGGGAGATCGATAGAATTTTTCAGTTTTTTCCGACTGTAAACAATTTTTCACATTTAAAATATGTTCTAAAGCGTGCAAATGTAATATGTGGGAAGGAAAAGAATCATAGAAGGCAGTAAAATAGAAATTTTGAAGAAAAATTTCTTTAAGCTTTTCAAATGCCTGTTTAGTATATTCAATATTATTTAGAGCATTTCCTTTAAAGTAGAAGTTTGATAAACATAAATTTTCTTCTTATATTTTAATTACTATTGTAGCATTACTTTGTTCAAAATAAAATATTTTGAAATCTTTGTCAGAATATAAATTTGGCATTACGTCATCTACTGCATTAAACTATTGTTCTTAGAAGAAATGCTTGTATTTCATACATGAGATTTTTGTGATATATCAATCTTTTCAGTTAGTATTATTGTGTAATAAATTATTCAGATATACGTATGAAAATAAAAAAACGATTAAAATAAATGGCAATTATTCTTGAGGTTTTAATTTAAGAAACAAACACTAATTTATTGTATTGTTATTATTATTTCTAACAATATTAGAAACTCACTTAAGAAAATATTTAACAATCCATATTTTTCAAGAAAATTGAAGGAGGGGCTCTTCTTTTAGATCTAAGTAAATCATGCTGGCTATTCTTTGAAATTAATAAAATATAACGGAGAAGGCAGAAAACTTTTAATGCCTTTAATTTTTTAACATGTAATTTAAAGAATAGCAAAAGGCATCGTCATTGGACAATATTTTAATGCCTCAAAACTGTAATTTAGTCAAGAATTGACAAAAAATAATTTTATTAATTTTTTAGACATTTCCGTAAAAGAAGAAAATTTACGTGTTTAAATACCCGTATCCATGAATGTAATCGTTTCTCGTGAATAATGGAAAAAAATAAAAAAAAGACATCATTTCAAAATAAGACATAATGCAGATCGTATTATCTGTAAGTAAGCAATCTATTATCAAGAGAAAAAAGTTGCTAGAAGCAAATAAGTTTTGAACATTTTTTCAAAAAGCTAAAATTATCTTAGAAAAAATTATATGTGGGTCAAGAATGGATCTTATCTTAATTATGGCGATGGGTATTTCAAGCTCCGATTTCTTAAAATGTGTGATTTGACCCTGCTAGAAAGTTCCCAATCCTAAAATTACACATTCTTTACTCTAGATACAATTATAAAATAATTATTTATATGTTCAATACAAAACAATACCGCCAAACCCTGTATAGTATAATCCTGTGTAATTATAAATCCTGTATAATTATATGTGCATAATAATAATGATATGAAAATAATTCCTGTTTGTATGAATGCAAAATCTGATCTCTTTACATATAAAAAGAATACTTCTTAGTACAGTATCGATGACTACTGATGTGTCACTCTGGTCAATGCTGAAATGCGTGTCGTAACTTGGTCATCATTGTTTCATCCTCATTTTTAAGAATTTTGTCATTAAATGAACTGCACACTCTTCTGAATTCAAACAACATATCTTCTAGTTTTCTTACAGCGCAAAACCAAGCATAAGAGAATACGATAACTAGATTAAGATGGTTCCATAAATATACTAATTTCCAAAAGTTACGCAACAGATGGAAAACTGATGATAACTCAGAAAGTATGCAAGCAAATCAGGCAATACTTGGTGACAATATTTATTATATCACTTGTAACTTAAAAAGCCCAAGAAAATGTTATGCAGGATATTTACATTTTGTAATATCAGCAGGAACATAAAAAATTTTCTAAATTCGGACATTAAAATTAAATACAGAACGATTTCTCATTAGTAAGTATGGTCAACGAAAACAGCAATAAAGGCCAGACAGTGAGCATTTGTTTATGATGTCTCATTTTGTTTATGATGTTCGCAATGAGCTTCAAGGGGAGAAAGGCCCATCGATCATGTAAAGCAGTTCTAGACCCATCAAGAATTTGAAAAGGGAAGACTGGAGTTCAGCAACATGCTTCACGAAAATGTCCCACACACGAGCAATGTGATAAGGTTGGGACAACCTACTGGCCATTCCATTTGGATTATATTTTCTTCGTCAAGAAACTATAATCCAAATGGAATGAAGTGCGAGCATAGTGAAAGAAATGACAGCGGTCATTATCTGCTTGCAAGATGAAGATACTATAAATTATGACAACACACAAACAAACAATAGAATGTAGCATATCATCTCTGCATCTCTAAGTATTGAGAATCCCATACGGTAATACATAGTGATCTGTTTTGGAGTTTACATAAGATAATCCTCCCCAAACCTCATCCCCACAGCATACGTTACCTCTTACACAAGTATCATTTCTCAACATGTTTGACAAAAGATATGTAGTGTTTGCTTCTCTGTATATGTAAGCACCGCGAGAAACAATTTGTGAAGCAAAGTGAGACTCGTGAATGAACAGAACATACCTCCACTGATTTTCCACCCAGATTACATGATTACGTACCCAAATCAAATGCTTCCTCTGGTGGTGGAAGGTTAGTTAGTCAGTTAGAATCTGAACACAGCCCGAACCGCCTAATATGAATTCACTTTATAGCCAAAAATTGGCTGCAGCACACAAAAGAACACAAAGAAGGGGAAAAAACTCACAAAAAAAATTATGAAAGAGAACAAACTAAAGGGAAAATATAATCCCAAGCAGGGACAAATCACACGCACATACCCTTTCCCCATGCACAAACAAAATAAGGAAGACATGTTGACTCTTACTGTAATAAACACGTTCACTGTCAATTTCAAAATCTTCTCTGAGACCAGCAGTTAGTTCACATGGTTCCAGAAAATACATTTGTCACCTATTACGTTACAAGTTTGATAGAATGAATTATTCTGAACACCAAATCTTGATAAATTTTGTGGAAAGCGGCCGTGATCAGTAACAAACTGATTAAAGTCGATATCGTTCATGATTTTTTTCATTTTCTTTTTCACTTTGGTGGCAAGAGATAAGAGGGACGCACAATGCCATTCGCCTAGCATAAAGATGTCGTTAATGAAGCCTTGTGTGTACTGTCCTTCCTGTAACAGAAATGAAAGCGGATCTAAACTGAGATGGAGTTGCAGACCAGTTGCGATGTGCAGTAAGTGGCAAATATCGGTCATCTGCAGAACTGGTAACTACTGGTCTATCTTCGGTAAGTCTTTGAAAGGTTAAAACGATGGTTAGAAATTGGTTGCACAACCGGCTTATTACGGAACAGTCGACATTTATCCATCTTGCAACGTCAGACAATCACTGATCTACTTCTAATCAGCCTGTAAGGTATATTTTAATTTTATAACAGTTATTTTACGTGTATGCCTCTTCCCTGTCTCTCCTAGCTTCAGCTTACAACTCCCTACCTCAATGAGGTTTTAGAATCGCGTTAAATTCAAATGAGAAGTAGAATAGTATTTAAGTAAAGTTCCACTGAATTCGCCAGAGAGAGTTAGGATAGCGCGCGTTTGCCTTTGGGCTACGTCTTTCTAAGCTGTTACTGCCCTCGGCGGTATTACGTGTCTTTTGATAGTTCCCTGGCTTTTAATCTTATTTTGAGCAAATAAAGAGTAATTAACTCTTCTTTAGTTTACGTTTCTATTCTTGGACTTAAGCGATTATTCATTTAGCAGTTCGCTAGGTTCCTCGACAGCTAGTTTAAGAGAATAAAAGTGAGGAACTCTGCAAGCCTATGGCTCTATAACGCAATTCTTTTGGCAAATGTCACCTCAAACTCATTATTACACCTTGGTTATCTCGAAATCGTGAAACTGAAATGTAGATTAATTCAAGTCAAAATCTAAAATAAAGTAGTGCTCGATTAGCACGTTAAATTACGCCTAACAGGAATAATTTAATATCACAAAAACCTAACAGGCATGATGATAATATGGAATGGGCAAGAGGCTTAATAGCGTAACAGCAAAACATCCTGGCGAGAAAATGTGAGGGGAAGTTGAGAAGTTCAGTAAAGGTATCAAACTTAAAATAAATTTGTTATGCAAAATAAGAGAAACCTTGCAATTTTAAAAATAAATATATTTGCTTAAAGGAATTTTAATACATAACTGTCATTTGAAGAGTAAACTATTTCTAGAAGTGAAGCCAATTTAGTCATCTAATATTTAAAACAGAGACACCTTTGCTGCAACTATAACTTCCATTCAGTCCTCGAATATCTGCTTCGTTAAAGATCAGTATCGCCTCTTTCCTGACGAGTATCAGAGCCAACACACTGATAGTTCTGTCTGGGGTTCGAGTCTTGGCAAAGGGGCTGGCTACATGGATGCTTTCGTGCTTTTCCCCCAAAGTGTAACATGTATAGCAGCCAGGTGAAATAAAGCCAAAATCAAATTTTATAGGCATTAAATCTGCATAAAATGGGAATGCTCAAAATATAAATAAAATATTAATATAAATGCTATTAAAAGAAGTGGCTTTACGGCCATCGTTACCATTCGAATTTAGAATGCTAACAAAACAGAAAACTGCAGCTATTTGTCTAACATTTTCCATTTTATAGAAAAACATTTGGAGGAAACATTTTATAGAAAAACACACACTTTCCTTTAAAAACGCTTGGAGGAATAGCTCAAATTTCGACTTTTACAAACAAGTTAATAAAAATTTTATTGAAATTCAAGGAACACATGTTCAGACGACAAATTAGTCAAATTCTTATTACTTCGAAAGTTTTATTTCTCAAAAGTTTAAATAAATTATTTTAGTTATCATTTTACTGATTAAATAACACTCCTTAAATTAATATAAACTCTTGTCACCTTTTTGCAATCTATACCATGATGTTTTAAGGCAATCAAAATATTTTCACTTTTGTTTCACCATGAACTTTTACGTTCTTTAAGCATTCGTTAGGTTGTAAGAACAAAAAAGCTCAAGTTCTGTTCCTCTATGAAATGGATCCTTTGTAAAGAACTTCCTATGCCGTATCATCATGGCACTCTCAACTGAATTTTTACTTTCCTGAATTCATTTATCTGGTTACTATATTTCCATACTTGAATATATGTGAATTACGTCTCTGAAACTGGAAATAAAATTAAAATAGGAAATTGATTTCGCTAAACAGATATAATATATATATATATACAACGTATTTTTCCTTAGGAGTGGAAATGTTTCTCGATTTTCCGAAAAAATTACTTTTGGTATTAGTTTTGATTTTGTAATTTCGGAATAACATTTTGCTTAAAATTTAATTACCGGAATAGCCTGATGTAATCCTTTTTCTATTTTTTATTTTTGTTATTTGTTTTTTCAGTAACTGCTTTATCTGCCCGAAATACGTGTACGATACTTAAAAGAGCTTGTGAAGCAATAAAGAAAGCTTAAAATTACTTTTAAAAATGCCTGTACTTCAGTAAAATGAATAGATTACTTTTGCTCTTATACCATAATTTAGATTTTTCCAATAGAGGTTGTTGCAAAATATATACTCATCTGATAAAAGTTTTCACAGAAAACATTTTTCAAAATTTATATAGTCATTATTACAATTATTACAGTATCAAAACACTTACTTGAAACTGCGTATTATGTGGCAGCCCATAAACTTGCGCTTGGCAAACTTTAGACACCAGACTAATAGCCTAGATGGAAAATTGACCATTCGTAATAAATAATTTATATATTTGATGTTCCACTTAAACCTAAGTAAGAATCAATACTTAACATACTTAGAATTATTCTCATATAAATTATTATACAACAGTCTAATAAGAACCACATGTTTTCTATAATAATTTCCGCGCATTGTGTGAATTATTTTATAACAAATAGGATGTTAAATTATGATATACATTTATAAAGGCAAATCATTCTACATATATATATATATATATATATAATATATAATATAATTGAAAAGAAAATGTAAAGCTAACTGGTAATATATATATTTACCGCTTTTCTTATTTTTATTTTATTTTTATTTTTACCTCGATCAATTGATAGTACTTTTACTATGTTTTAAATATACTTAATTAGTTTAACATATAGCTTACTATTTTTGTTAATTTTTACTTGCAAATATTCAAATGTTGTATATTTCTCTTTTTACACAATTCATTGCAACTAAATTTGCTTATGTTGAAGTTTTCGCAGAGCCACAGTTTTTTAGCAACTTTTTAGCGTGCATACTAAAATTTATCTTCTAAGTTCCTTAATTTTGCAGCACAATGCGCAACATTTTTGACCACATAGGTCTTTTATCGTTAGTTTTCTTTCTACTTTACTTTAAATTATATATATATATATATATATAATCAGAAAATGTTCAGTTATTAACCAGCTGCATCATCATATCATATATTACAGGGTTTCTTAAACTGTGGGCCGCCAAAAATTTTAGCATTTTTGATATTTGTTTAATTTATGATAATAATTTTATAATTACCAAATATTTTTACACAATGTATCTGAAAATAGATAAGACAATACAGACAATGAAAAAGACGAAAAGGTTTCAACGCATTCTTTTTATAATATAAACGTTCATTCTCCTTGCTTTGCACGTGACGCTGTCAATTCGTCTGTTACTTATTTCGAATTTTCACATTGTTCTACGTCTTAAAGTTAGAAATTAAAATTAATGACCTAAAACTGCAATAGTATATTAGAGTACAAGTGTGAAAAAATTGACAGTTTCACTCACGCGTGTGTCGAATTCGTGCAATACTTATGGGGTCCCACAAAATTTTTGTGAATATTATGGGGTCCTAAGAGTCGCGAAAAAATCTCAGTGATAAAAGGGGTCGCGACTGAAAAAGGTTTAATAAAAGCTGAATATTCTATTGGTCTAGGAGTTGAATCAATGAATAAATACTGTTAGCTACTTTTCAACAATTCTTTTTTTTTCTTCCTAAAACTGCAGTTTATTATTCAGAAATGGTAAATATTTTCGTAGAAAATTTCAGGTTGTAATATTTTATACTAAAACTATTTTGTTTATGTGTGCAAAGAATAAACAAAAGTAAGGATATTCAACAGAAAATATGTTTCAAAGTATTAGCTAATGATATTATAGTACGGAAATATGTTCGATGAAGATTTTGAACTCGAAAGCAAATAATACTTAAAGTACAAGAATAAACAAACATTATTTATTTAGGTTAATAAATTCAGCTTCAATAGAGGAACCTTATAAAAATGATGTTTTTCTTTATACTATTTTATCCTAACTGTCACGCATATTAACTGAATAATGGATGTTGTTGGAAAAAGTGTTGTTTCAATAGAAAATGCATTCTGCATTATTCTGTGTTTGGTAGAGAGAGCGTAACAAAAGAAGAAATAAAATAAACTTTGTTGAAAAAAGTATATATATATGCTCAAAATTATAATTTTGTTTTCATCGCATGCGCTTTTTTAGATTGCGTTTTATTAGCTTCAGATCATTTCTGTACATTCCGACGTACCGCATTTTTAAAGTAGTTTCACATCATTACATTTCTACATAATTTCAATAACTGGTGGCTCCAAAAACCTTCAATACGTTCTATGTAATAAAAAAATGGCGAAAGTAGTATTGCATTATTATATGTTGGCCGATCGGAATAAACATGTTAATTGGATAAAAGACAGGCTTGAATAAGAAGGAAGATTTGAACATATAATGTTACAGCAAAAGACATTCACAATATTTAAATTATCATTATTACAGGTTCGAACCACTTATTTGGTTGTAACATCTAATAGTTTGTAAAGCAATACAATAGCAACAGAATATAGATAAAATATACCAACGCAACAGTAAAACCCTTATGGCAACAGCAATGAATATGGTAGAATACATTTTAAAAAGCAACTATAGGATCACCTGCCGAAAATTTATAATTATGTCAAAGTCCAAAAGTTAAGGTAGAATTGCAAACTTGCTTAATGAGCACTCATTAGTGCACTCGGTATAGAGGTTACTTTGCATGAGAAATCGGAAATATGTTATCAACAATATTTTGATGAATGCAGTTATGTAATTTAGTCGCAGATCAGATGAAAAACAAAAATACTGGAATATTTCGAAAAAAATGTCTCTACAAAATTACCTTTCTAAAATTTTCTGAAATGTCGCCATCTTGACAAGGAACATCAAATCTATATATACTCAGATCAATATCTCAAGAGCTTCTCTAATTACTTACGAAATTACAATGCTTAATTATATTGAATTTAGTTTTCTACTGTATAATAAATTAATTTAAAAATGCACAATTATGATATAAAAAAATTATGCTAGGTATTTAAAATATTTTACTTGCAAATTTTGATGAGAAAGTTTCAACAAGTATTTTTAAAAGGTCTGTTACAAATTTAAAAATGGTGGTTGCTTAATTTAATATGAAATCTTAATTTGCCAAAACGAAAAAAACTGTTTTGCAGATATGCCTTAAATTTCTTCGTAAGATTTTGAAATTACTTCGGTCATTAAAACATAGAAAAGGAGATTAAACCAATAAATTTGTTCTTGAATATTTCCAAGAACTTTTAGATTAAAAGCATGGAATTTTTCTTCCAAATTTACTCATGTGTAATTTTAGTAGGAGTATTTTTATTCTGCAAGGGATGCATAGAAAATTTAGATCTGATTTTTATAGAATCCGTGTCATGATAATAAGAAAGATTTAATCACAACAAACATCAGAATTAGAGAAAGGTAAAAGAAGTTAGTTATTTTTATTAACTTATTCACAGTTTATTCTAATCTAAATAAGCACTAGTGGAAGAGATTTATTTAGCAATTAGACAAGAATTTTCTTTCGGAGGAGGGAGGGAAAAAATGAAAAAGATTTTAATTGTTCGTTTCTTTTCTTGATAAAACAAGCCATCAAATTTTGAATAAAGTACATCTCCACCCAAATATGGGCATCTGGAAGCCAAAATTTGGAATTTAGTGTTTGTTATATTAGCTATTTCATATTTTGTAAAGCATTAATGAGTTTTTGGTTAAGAAACTCAATGATTTCAAAGCGAACTATGGCAACACTGTACGGGAAAAAATATTTTATTTCCAGCTCGCAAGACTATGTATTGGAAATTCTAAAGATATGCTCTTTTAAATATTTTGTGATATTGCTGTTGAATTGAATTTTATGGTTTAAATGAGAAGAACGTGATTAGTTAATAAATAAACGTTAAAAAACGCCCCTTTGGGCGTAATATAAAATCAGATTTTTTTATGATGATTGGAGGAATGCATGGCAATACAATAACAATATTTAGAAGGTTGTTTTAGTATATCCTCGAAATCCTGTCTACGTTCTGGTTCAAAGCCATGTAACACAAGGTCTTTTGCTGTTGTCCAACCACAGAACTTCTTGGCTAAATTATAAGGATTTATTTAGTTTTAAATTAACCAGTTTTGTTCAGTTATTCACCTTTTTTATTTTCTATCATCTCCATTTTCTGCCAGAATGATAGTTCAGTTTCGCGCGTTATGCAAAGTAGTGTGGAAAGATACAATTTAAGCTTGTGTGTGAGTTACTTCAGATACAACGTGTTCTGCCTTTTAGCCACATTGTTTCGCTGATATTTAAACTTGCTAGTTACAGCCGTGCATATTAATAGCCGGTTTCTCTACGTTGGTGGTAGAATTAAGAGCCAGCTCGCGTTAATCGTCTCAGTGCAGCTTCCGCTACTTATTTAAGTTAGGCTTAGTTTCAATTTTATATTTCTATTTTGAGTTTCAGCCAAACGTTTTGGCTGCGTTTTGTAAGCACTAGTAATGCCGATTATAAATCCTTTCTTGAGTTGAACAAAATTGTGTTTTCACCCTTTGTCCGCTTTTATAATTGAACTTAGCGAATAGTCACTTCACAGTTCAAGTAAAGATCTAGGCAACAAAGTAACTTCATATGAAAAAAGTAATTTTATTTTGTCAACAAAGTAACAAACAAAACAAGTGACAAAAATAAAGTTACTTTATCAACAAAGAAACTATATTTTTGTCAGTTAGGGGATATATGTAATATCCCCTAACTTAATTTAGCTAGAATCTATACAACCTTTTAATAATATAGTCTTTTAATATTTTAATTGGTAAATTTTTTTATTTGGTATTTGATTTAGACTGAATGTATGACATATTGTAGATTTCTGATTAAATTTGATGAGCAAAGGATATAAGAGCAAAAATATAAATATAACTGTTTTTATTTTTCATTTTTCCAGCTAATTATTAGCTTTATCACTATGAAATGATATATTTATGTAAAAACTTCCATAATACACATAAGTCTAAAATATTTTAGAGATTGCACAAAAAATAAGAATTTTTTATTTTAGCGTCCTTGTTCCCTTATTTTTAATTTTTGAAACGCTGTGCTGCTTTTCTTCAAAAAGCTTCTACATTCTTGTAAAGAATGTTGCGTCTTCTAATAATTTTAATTTATTCTCAATAAAATTAATTGGCGGTTACAATCAGGAAAAAATTCTGATTTCAAACAAAGGATTGTTTTCTTTTAAATTGCATTATAAAAGTGTCTAAAACTTCCACATCTTACGAATATTTTTACCTGAATATAAAATAAGAGCACCATACTAATACCAATTGCGAAATACGTATTAATTTGGAGACATTTTTCTCTACTAAAATTTTATTTTATTACTCTGAAGAAGTATAAATCCATAGCTACTCTTAGAATTATGCATAATAGAGTAGCTATGAATTATGCTCTACAGGTCTATTATAATTCATAGCTGCTCTTAGAAAATTTAATTGTAATTCTTCAATATTTTGGAGAAAGTGTACATATTTTTAAGTTCGTAAATGCATATTTTTATATTTTTTGCCATATTTTTAAGGTCGTAAAGTGTTAATATATATATTTAAAGAAAATTAACAAGAATAATGATTTAGATCCAAAATCGCAAAAGCACTTACTTCTGTTCCCAGTTTATCTCCTGAAAAGCAGATTAACACTAATCTGAACACGCAAAATATAACCAGGTAATATGACACGGCCTTACTTTCATATCTGGCCATAAATGGCTCTTGATTCTTTTGTAAAAGCTGAAATCCAGCTAAGCAGAGTAAAATAGGAGTCATTATCACGTGAACCAATACTATGGGCGAAAACACTCTGTCCCCGTCTTTCGCTATCCGGCACGTGAAGTTGTAATCTGACTTCCATGATGCGAATTTCATTCTCACTTTTTCATTTTTGCTTTTAAGAATGCTTATTAAACGGTGGTGCAAGATTTCGAAGCTTGTGGATAGCGTAGAAAAAGTATTGGCCGCCCATAATTCTGTAAACAACATTCCCATCACCGATATCCCCATAACTATAACTTGTAGACAGAGTTGAGTGTACTTTAGCTTTAAGATATGAGTTGTTACCACTGGAGTTTTAGTAATGAAGTAAATAGCTCTACAGGGTTCCACTGGAATCCCATGAGCTTGCCGGTAATAAGTAGCTATAGCACATGTACTCAAATAAGAAATTCTCTGTATTGCCCATCCGAACGCTGCAAGAAGGCCACATTTCAAATAACCTATCCATCGACTACGTTTGTTTGGCTTTACCGTTGAAATTAATTTCATCTTAACAGTGAAATTTTTAATTCTTCTGAGATTGAGAAGCAAAATAATCTGGTAAATAATAGCATGGTATACAATAAGACTCGGATAAACAATTCTCAAAAGCATGGCGGTATCTGCATATCTGTGGCAACAAAGAAAATAAAACGCAGACCACGTCTGAATAGTTGCCATGAACATATAATATAACAAGACGCTTATAGACCACAAAAGCCATACTGATGAGAATACGTGACTTGATGAATTTGAAATCGGCAAATATCCAACAAACTTGAGAATTTTCATTAACTGCCGATGTAATGCTATGTTTTTCTGCATATTCTTTTCGATTTCCTTCATACTTGAGTTCAAGATGAATAAGTAGATTTAGTCTTGATATTTAGTACAGGTTTTCGATTTACTTAGGCTAAAAAATCTTTTTCCGTAGTTGATAAATTTAGTGGTATTTTAAAATAATTAATGAGAATATAACAAAGCATTAATTATTTGCCAAATATTTCGCAATGCAACATGACAAAAATTTTTTAAATATTCAATAAAAAGAAATATTTTAAAAGTAAATAAAAAGTTACTTGATAGAAGAAAATTAAATTCAAAATTTATAATTATAATAATACAAAGTTTTAAATTGGATATTTTACTTGAATTCTAAACTGGAACAGAAAATGATAAATTTATGAAAATTGTGCAGCAAGTCAATTTTAATTTTATATATGCTGTGAAAGTAAGAATGATATAAAAGATGTAAGAACAGATTAGGAGTTTGATCAAAAATGCCAAAAAACACGATTCCTGATATTTTACTGAAGTAAGAACTATTAAAGGCTAATGAAGCTTGGGGTTCACTAGAAATGTGAACATCCTTTTGCTTTAGAGCTAGCTTTATTCAAAGATAAACAAAATCTATTCCGTTAGAGAATACTGTAACGAAAGTTCAGTAAAATAATCAACTATACACGTAAAAGAGTTCTGTCTCAACTTGCAAATTTAACACAGAAAGCAAGTCAAATTCCAAATAAAGTTTGCTTGAAATCTAACATCTAATTTTACGGTCTAAGTCAGGGGTGGCCAAAATGCGGCTCGCGAGCCTGATACGGCTCTCGCAGGCAATTTGTGCGGCTCATGCATATAAAATAGTATATGTATGAAATATGGTAAACTAAAACTATTCAGTGTCCAAAAGGAAGTAATTAATTAGTTTAGACTCTTTTACAAAGTTATCAGGTATTTCTTTCTATTTAAAACCTCCTCTACTACTTCTATAATGATATAAATATGAACTTGTGGCTTTTAGAAAATCTAGATACGGCTCTCAAGCATTCCTGAATTCAAATGTGCGGCTCTTACTGACTTGGCCAGGCCTGGTCTAAGTCATCGACTACGCCGCATAACTAGGGTATTACAGCTTATAAACTGAGCAGATCTTGTCTTTAACACAGGAACCGTTGCGTGACAAAAAGCTGCCTTTGACATGCAATATAAATTTAGAATTTTAAAAATGATCACGCACAAATAACTGTGACAAAAGGAAACAAGTTTGCAACAGACTTTGTTTATTCTTCAAAGAAATCTTTTTCCGATTTTGAAGTTGCAAAGCACGCATTTTTGGAGTCCAATGACATTATTTCAATTTTTTTACTGCCTTTACATTCACTAATAGCATTTTATTATCAATACTAGTTATTTTCAGCAACGTTTATCTTATATCCAATACTAAGATCTATTTCGTTGCTCGTTGTCGAAGCTTCAGGAAATGAAAATACTAAGCTAAAATCAAAATAATGTTCTGTAATCATATAACAAAGCAACTGATTATAAGAAATCGAAATATCAGTTTAGTATATAAAGCGATTAAAAATTATGTGTGCTGGCTTTAGATTTACAGATTTTGTCTCAGACCGGTTTTAATCCCAAATGCGTTGTGCTCAGGCTTCAGTTTCGTAAATTAAGTCTCAGAAAGGCTTTTTGCCTAGTCTCAGGTTTAGTCTTAGACGGGTCTCGAGTATATCGAATTACAAAGGTTTTGAAAATTACACAGCTTCTTTTTATTTGGTCTTGATCAGAGGTAGACAGTTACATTGGCTGGGGGTCACTTTGTGCAAGCGAAGGTTAGCGGAGAGCCGCACCTCTTTGAAATGATTGCATTCGTTAGTAAACTCTGCAATTCAGAAAAGATATAAATTGTACGGTAAAAATCAATAAATATAAACTAAAGAAAGTGGTGACAATTTTATTCGATTTATTTGTTGTGTTAATTTCTTATCATTCGTAGCTGCAAGCACAGTTAATCTTAGACTCTGTTAAGTGAGACACCCTTTTCATGACCTCATGACCCTTTTCAATAACTTTTTTTAAATCCGGAGTGATATTGCTTGTTGAGATTCTCATCACAGCCTGCAATTTAATATCTGTCAAAGAACATCTATATTTAATCTTGTTGATTTTCAAATGAGAAAAGCTTTACTCAAAAATATATGTAGGCCGAGATATAGAGAACCTATTCTCAGCAAATTCCTTCATACATGGAAATTTTTCAGCAGACAAAGATTTGTAAAATCTTAATCTTAAATCTCACATCTTTGTGCTTCAGTTAATGTCAAGGCATTAAACATTTCTTTCTCAGAGTAATCTGTTTATATGTCAGTTTTAAGCTTCTGCTTCTGAGGTACTGTGTCAATATTAGCAGTAACTGTATAATATTTAGGCTCAGTTTTCTTAAAGTCCTGAAATCTTCTTGTGACATTGTCGTTCAAACTCTGCAGATGATCCCTAATCTTAGCAGAAGCACATTCAGGCACCTTCTGTTTTCCTAATAAAGGGAACTGACAAAATTGGCTTGGAAGATTTAGTTTTACTTTGAATCATTGTACATGCTTCCATATTCCATGTGCAAACCTTTCCCTGCAGCGTCACTTTCAATTCATTCAGTTTTTCAAATACATCAGCTGCAATTACCATATCATAGCTCTACTTCTCACACCGCGTTTTGGCCCACCAGCGGCCGAGCGGTAAAGTCGCTAAACACTGGTAGTTCGGTCAGAGGTTCGAATCCCGCAAACGGGCTGGCTGCATGGGTGTTTTCGTGGTTTTCCCCATGTGTAACGTGTATGCGAGCCGGTTTTCCTTGGAAAGTCCTCCACGAAGGCATTCCTCCTCTTAGGCAGATAGCCCTAGTGTGCTTTGCCATAATTAAATACACCACACCGCGTTTTTGTAGAAGAAGGTAAATTACGTCTTCATATTCTGCCTCCACATCCTCAAGAAAAGATTTGAAGGACACAGTACGCTTTAACACTCTACCATACACTACTTAATAAATTGGACATCCGAAAGAGGCTTATTTAAAAGGGTTGTAGGCTATCATGAAACTTACTTCTGGTGTTGATTGCTTTGCCAATGTACCTGTATGTTGTTTTTTTATCCTTTTCTTTATCTACAGCTTTTACTTTGCGTTCTGTCTTGAAAGGTTTGCAGACAAATTCGCTATGTTTTGTTCCGTGGTGTCGTTTCAGAATGCATTCCTTAAATACGTTTATGGCACAATAAACACTGCTTAAAGAAATATTTGTTTACAAATTCTTCACTAAACGCGAATATCACTGATCTTATGTCTTTCGGGAGATTCAGGGTTTCACTAAAGTTAGAAATTTAGATGTTTATTTTTGCAAAGAAAAAAATTGGAATTAAACGTATCAATCGGAAAAGTACTGCGCATCGTATCTATACTAAGCATGCGTATTCATATGGACATCCTAGCTGCAAATACGCACACGGGAAGGAAATCTCGGTTCAAGGAGCATTTTGCTGATTGTTTTGGCAGGCTACAGAATTCTCTTAGAGGGCCACTATTGCTCACCTCTGGTACAAATCATAGTTTTCCAACCGTTTATAGCCTATGCCACCTTTTAAAAGCAATCTATATTCACTTTTCGCGTGAAAAAAATACTGACTCCGTTATTTGAAATCAATGATGTAAACCCACTTTTACAGACAATGATTGGAAGGCACTGTCTTAAGTAAAGTATCCTATATGGTACATTTAAAAACAAAGACGCATTTTTAAATTTACTTTATTAAAATATAATAGCATATTGATGCATTGATTAACATATTTATATTGTTAAAAAATTAATATAGTATTGTTAGGGAGGCTTAATGTAATGACATTAATATTTCAATATTTGCTACCATATTTATGATTCGCAGTCTTAAATCATCCGAGTTTCATTATAGAGACGTTGCTAGGGCTTTTCAGTGATCGGGAACAACTGAAGAATTTCTCTGAATTGAAGAACTGAAATTGTGCCTCCTCCAGTTTGCGAAAATGCAATGCACAAGGGAAGAAAATGCCTCTGGATGCTTCACCCAGGTACAGATGTCACCTTCCAGCTACGCCGCTGTTTCGTTATTGATAATCCGTTTCTCTTCACCGTTATAGTAAATTGCTGACTATGTTAAATCCCCTTTCGGTTAAATATAACGTAGTAATGCTATTAAAAAAACTTTCTTGAGGTAGTCTATAAAGCCGGAAATAATGCTAGAATTTCTCTTTGAAGCCACAGCTCTTGATATCCATTTTTAAAGTTAATTTTAACATTTCATAATACGCTTACAATATGGTAAACTTCTCCTGCAGTGATAATTCTGCTGCTTGTAGGCGTGAGAAAAGTTGGAAGACATCTTGAAATCTATTTATAAAATTTTCTTCAAGTGCTTACAAATACTGCTCTCACGGATATCTTAATACTCCGAGGTCTCTCTGAACTGACTCCGAAGTCTCTGAATAGCAAGTGAGAAACTGATGCTATCTCCGATCTCATATAGTGTTCCTAGAAATTTCTAATACTTCTCGAAATTACTGAAAGGCATGTAAGGACCGGATACATTTACAATTGTATAGAGTATCAATTACAGGTATTCAGTT